GCTCGTCCTCCCCTTCGCCGGAGGAGGCGGCGGTGGCGGCAGCAATCGCGGCCACCGCAGCGGCGACACCGGCGACCGAGACGGCGGCGTGAAGCTGAGCATTGTGCGCCCTGGTCTCCTCTTTCTTCTTCTCCTTCCTGTCCTTGAGCCATCTCCCCACCGTCTTCCCGCCACCTCCCGACGCGGCGCTTCTGAAATTGAGACTCAAAGTGCTGGCGGTGACGTTGTTGCTGCGAGAGTACTGCAGAGAGGATTTCATAAAAGGCATTGTCCTTAAACTTGGATTGAAAATACAAAAATTAAAATTAATTGTTCAAATACTGGTTTGTGTCCTCCAAAACCTTAATTTGAATCCAGCGAAAACAAAGGTTGTAACCAACTAATCCTACAACCTTAATGCCATGCTTAGCCTAGGCTAAACGCAACACCGTCGTATATTCCTTAATGCGGCAGGGTAAGAGACACCATGCTTGACGCTGTGCGTTGCTAATTTTGGATTTGCAAGGACTTATTAGGTGTTACTCAATGCCAACGTGGGTGTGTTCTACCCTAAAAGTAGAGGACCAATTCATATTCACACGCTTTCCGTTAAATTTAATCATTCCTAAATTGTTATATTAAAATTAAATCATATTCATAAACTATTTTAGCGGATTATTTATTTTAATATAATTATTTTGGAGGGAGCATGATTCATTAAATTAAAGGTGGCTTGCTTTGGATATAGTGAAAGGTGAGAGACATGGTTGGTTATAAGTTATAAGTGAGTGATGATGTCGTATTTATTTTTGGTAAAAGAAGACATGTGTTATGTGTGTGGTGTACCTTGATATCGTCGATTTCAGAAGGAGAAACAGGAGGACTATCGGTTAAGGAGCCACAGCTTTGGGTTCCGTTAAGAGGGCCACTACTATGCGAGAGTCTCCCTGAGGTTCGTGGAGATACCTCCTGCTGAGAAACAAGGAAAACAAAAATATGCGTATGCGTATGCGTATGCGTATGCGTAAGTCTTTTGTTTCAGAACAAGACAAAGGAGGCTAAAAAAAATACCAAACACTGACAAAAACAACACTGCAGTCAGGTGTTTTCCTTTTGCAGTCACCGATGTGGGACTTGGTTTTTTTTTTTTTTTTTTTTTTTCATATGAACCAAAACTAATATGTTTTCAACCAAGGCTTACAGATTGTGACATGATTCGTTCCATCACCATTTGGGAGGTCTCCGAGGAGGCGAAGGAGAAGGGGTTCCCGGAGACCGTGGCGGATGCTTCCTCGGCCTCGGCCTCGGCGGCCACGTCCTCCGGTATGGCGACGGCGGTGCCATTGGAGAGTGTGACTTTGGAGAGCGCCTTGGAGACTTCGAGGGCGGAGACGCTCCAGGAGCGGGAGAGGAACTCCATGGGCTCCCGCGGCGTCTCCGGTGGCCGGAACATGGCGGCGTGAAGCGGGTCGGGTCGCCAGGGTTGGGTTTGGGCCTTGTCCATGGGGAGCGTAAACGAAGGAAAGAAAGAAAGAGAGAGCGTTGAGTGTGAAATTGTGTTGTGGTGTGTTTATATTAGAAAGAGAGAGGGGTAGTGAGTGGAAAAGAAAAGGTTTACACAAGAGAGACAAAGCAGCCGATTGTATTCTATGTCAGTCAGTCCTCCTCACTCCTCACTCAAAATACAAAGGTCAAAATTTAGCGTCACAAAACAAACCAACAAAATGTGGTATCAACCCACCATTTCATTATAGGAATCATAATCACTTCAATTACATTTTTGTCTAATACTTATTACTATATTATTAATCCTATTTCAATTTCTTTTTTTTCTTTTTGTCTTCTCGTAAATTATTGTTCAACCAACTGTCACTTGAATTAATATTATGGATGATTTTCTTTAATGATCACGTGCCTGTTTAATTAGTGGGATGCTTTGGTTACTTTAAGGAGAGTAAGGTTGTTATCTTATGATTGAATGATAAATTAAAATGGTTTCACTTGTGAAAATAAGTTTGAACATAAATCCAAACTCATAAAATTACACACGTACACATATTTGTATAACAAAAATGAAGAATGGGGATGGATAAAGAAGAGGAGTGAGTGGTACGGGTGTTGAGGTCCACGGAATAAATGGTACGGCAGTACACATGATAAAGCTCACACTTGTTTTCCTCTCTGCTTCTCTTTCTTTCGTTTCTATTGAATTAAAGATCTCTTTGATCCCTCGTTTTCTTCTACCTAAAAGAGCAACCACCTTCTCAAATTCCACATCGCCACACGTACCCACTATTTATATCCAACTTTTTTTATCTTCCAATTAATCTTTCTATGCATTATCCTCTACATTCTAGCAACTTAATTTTCGTAATTATAAAATAAATTCGAACCTGCTATAAATTGAGATTCATCAATTATAATGCGTGTCGTTAACTTTGTGAATTTAATTAATTATTTTATCCATGAGGTTGATCGTATTTCATCATTGAAATGAATAGATACATCTTTGTTCATGTAGAGTGAGCATAAGCAGGTTAAGAGGTGTAATCAGTAATCAAAATGATCTAGTACAATGATTAATTCTTTTTTATTGCTTCTGGAAATGGATTGTTTTTTTTCTAAGATGTTGTTAGTTTTTAGTCTAAGGTGTCGACAATACTAATTATTACTGTTCGCCACCAAGCCGTGATTGTTATATATAGGTATGTGGTGATTTTTTTAATTAAGCTGCAACTTGTGTCTTAGCTGATCTCCATTCAGATAACTACAATAGATTGGTCAGTACGTCATAATTGTAATGGCCAGATAATGTCAATATCAAGTTTCTTGCTAAATGTTACCCAAAAGAATCTTCTTGAATTTTTAGATTTTTGGTATGGCTGAATTTTGAACTACTATCAAATTAAATAGAAGCAATGAAATGCTCATTTTCAATACGAGGTGATGAATTGAATCACTATTACACCACTGATATAAACATTAATTAATCCCCCGGCAGCCCCCCAAAGTAAAACTCATGAAAAACGTATCCTAATAGTGACTTTAGGGTTGATTATATAAAGTAACATGAATTTCTTTAAAAGTGAAATTATATTTGAAGAAAAAAAAATACCGACTTGATAAAGTGGTGAAGAGTGTAAATAGAATTTATGAAATTATAGTCATTATAGTCTTTTAGATATCGCATTCCCTAATTGTAACTTGTAAGATAAAATAAATTATATAAATAAAAAATAATTCTTATCTAACAAATCAATTTTTGGTATTGAGTTACATTTAAATTTATATTTTAAGTTGACATTACAGTTTATCATAATAATTATTGTCAAATTTACTATATCATTATCATATAACTTGACTTGAAAAAGTGTATGAGATTATATATTAAAAGGTAATTAGATGAAAATAAACAATATTCTCAGTTATTTTTATAAGATTGAGTTAAGTTTGAATTCAAAGTTCAAACCTTATTATAAATATTACAGACAAAAAAAAATAAAATATTTTCAAAAGTAAAATATATTTGTTTCTTATTTGATTTTAAATATATTAATTATAAAAATAAATATTCTATTAAAAATTCACAATAAATATATTCTCTCTTTTCCCTTTAAAATAACTATAATTGCATTTAATATATAAGTCCGCTAGAGAAAAATAATGTTAATACAGTCGCCGAGAAGAATGTTGTCATGGTACTCAATTAATTAGATAATTGAATACAAGTATTTATTGATTAATTTAAAAGCTTTGATTATATTAATATAATTGATAAACTAATTATAATATGCATGGAGAAAGAGAGTTTTCAATTAATAAGCGCGACGAGAGTAGCTACATACATTGGTGGAAGAAAATATTAAGATTGATGAAGAAGAATAAGAAGGAATTGTTACTATCAAGTTTGCTGGAAAGAATGGTGTGTGACTATTTGATATTCATTTCTGCAAGTTCTTTAGGGTTGAGCTCATACGCAGGAGATGGAAACAAGTCATATACAGCCCGGGAACAGCGCATCTTGGTAGATTCATCAGATTCTTCTTATTGCTACTATTCATTCTTTCTAACTTTATTATTCTCTATATTGTAATTATTTTTTCCAGACGTACTATATCATTTCACCCACTAAAAAAGTGATAGATATAATTAAGAGGAAGAAAGTGCATCATGAAATGTGTGTAAGAAAAAGAGAGGGAACACAAAAACAATTGGGATAATTAAGTAAAGGAATTTCTACTTGCTTTTAGTTTTAGATATACGTTCTCGTTGTAAAAATATATTTTTACTTTTCTTTCACGATAAACAATTAAAACACTCATCTGATTTTCTATTAATTTTTTCATCATCACATTTCTTTCCTTTTATTTTTCTTAATACAGTTTATAAAGCAAAGAAAACATTCATTTGAGAAAAAGTGATTGGATATTTTATTCAAATAATGACAGTGTGGTTACTAAAGATGTCATGGTTGATACTGTTGAGGTAGTGGAGTGTAGATGAGAAAAATAATGAGGGTGGTATCTGGAGACTGGAGCGAAGGCGAGAGCGGAAACAAAGGGAGAGAGAGTGAGTGATCTGTATCCATCTGGAGAATTTAATGGCATGGGCCCTAACGTTAAACCTTCGAAAGAGATAAACCTATCAATTTAAATTCATCAATCATTGGGAGTTGGGACTCACCAACGTCCATGGAGCCTCCCTCCATCAAATTTCTCACAATTCTTTTTTTTCTCCATAAGTTACTCCAACATAAAAATTCGCCCAGGATTTTACTCAAACATTGTCAATATTTTATTTATTTATTTTCCCATCAAATTTCTCATTGAAATAGAGTTACGTTAAAATATTCTTTTAATTATATAATTTCCCTTATTTTATATTGTAGTATTTATAGTTTAAAATCAATCTTTTTAATTTGTATATTTATTTTTTAATATTTTAATTTTTATAGTTTAAGATAAATTTTTTAGTTATCATATTGCAATTCTTTTAATAATTTGAGTCTTTAATATTATTATTATTATTATTATTATTATTATTTATTATCTCTTTTTGTGTTTACATAAATGTATTAATTTAATTTTGTAAAGTTAATATCAAATTTATTTTATTGAAATTATTTTATATTAGATCTTTCAATGTTTTTTTTTTTTACATGTAATGTGAGATATATTTTTTTTTTTACGAAATTAAAGTCTCTATCATATCAATACAAAGTAGATAATATTTAAAAAATAACGAAAAAGATTAAAAAAATTTATTTTAAATTACAAAAAAATTTAAAACAAAAATATAGAAATTAAACAAATATTTTTTAAAATATAAAAACTAAAAAGTGAAGTAAGTGAAACTATAAAGACTAAAAAATATTTTAACCATAAAGTTATTATGATTCAACATTTTTTTTTTGTCTTTTATCATATATGTTGTTGTTTCTACCAGAATTGTATGTTTAATTGTTGTATCAATTACTAAAAAAAATATCATAGTAATATATTGTACATGAACATAATACTTATTACTACAAATCATTTTTATCTACACTATATATATTACTTTATTTAAAAGTGTAAATATAAAATTATATATTAAAAATTATATATAATTATATGTCACATAATATATATATATATATATATATATATATAATATTATTTATATATATCGCCACTTTTTGTATTTTGTGTATATGTAATTTTTTTAATGAATCTATCTCGATCGGTTAAAGATTTTAGCTTAGTAAAAATATGGAACATAATAGACAGTCAAATTTCCAACATCAACGTACGTCACCTTCAAATTTTTAAATCTTACACTTGTCTAGATTTACTGAATTGGAAACTCATTGGAAAAATGATTCTACTACATTAATGTTAATGCAACAAACGTGTTTCATTCATAATATTCTCCATATAAGATATTGAATGAATAAATAGTAACCATATTAACTTGGCTGAAAAAGTCATTGTCTTTAGAGATGTTGAAAAGCACACTAACACTTCTTTAATGATATGAATATTTTTTTTTATAAAATATTTTAATTTAAAAAATTCCATACAGGTAGTAGAAATAAAGAATTTGACTCTTCTAAAAAAAGCAATTTAAAAATATAACAAAAACCATTAATTAAACTACCGACACTAAACATTGTAATTA